CGTAATTCACCGTGTATACGAATTCTCAAAGAAGCTTGATGATATCTTTTTGCCAATTTGTGTACCCCTGGACTAAAGATGACGGACAACGGACTGCATGAAATCAGAATCAAACGACGCTAAACTAGCAACCCAAACCGCCGAACCGATATTACCGCCCGATACATCTCTCGCCAATGAACAGGCTATCGAAAACACTGAAAGACAGAGCGATCCCACTATTTAACTCTAACCGGCTACTATCGGTATCGGAAATGAAAATGGGGGATTTTAAGTGGTCGACCGGTTCTATCATTTACTTCTTGGAGCGCTTGTCGAAACTCCGCCGTTGCCGGTATCAAGCCCGGATGAGAAACGAGGAGGGTTTGAGGCCGTGGCAAGCCTCCGAAAAATTCAGCCACCTGCCATTCATGGTATTGACAATATCGAACATTATACCGGCTCGGTCCTCGCCCGGGTTACCAAGGGCCGCGCAGGCTGTTGAGGGACTGTGGCAGACTACGAAAAATCGGCGATCAGAACCTGCTCATTGCTCTCTGCCAGCCGGGGGCGTGGCAGCACAACGACGGCTGACGAAGACCAAAGGAACGACGACGAAGATACTAGTCAGCAACGGAGTCGATGCCCGTTCTGAATGGAGGAGGCAGACAGCGCGATGCCATTATAGCACGTCAGAAAAGGCTCGGCGAAAACGACACCACCAGTGGGAGCTTGAAGTCGGAAATCTGAACATATCCTCAATCAGAGGAAAAGAACAAAAATTAGTTGAAGAGGCCATAAAGTACCAACTCGACATTGCTGGACTCTCGTCAACGAAGCCCCAAAGCTCTGGAATTCTAAGTTTCAGCTGGTGGAGGCTCTTTCACTCAGGTATCGATATCACGACGCGCGACGCGTTGCTGCTCTGGTGTAACCCAACCTGGCCGGTAGAATCACTGAATGGAGGCCTGTCAGCGGAAAGATGGTATCCTCAGACTGAAGCTAGAACCGGCTAAATCGATGACCTTGGTACAGGTCTATGTGGCCAATTTGGAAGGAGAATATGAGACCTTCATTGAAAAAGTGCAGTGTGTTCTGTCCGAAAAGCCTAATACGGAGCCCCTCATAATGACGGGCGATTTTCATGCGCCCGTCGGAGCAGACGCTGAAAAGTGGAACAGCGTGATTGGGAAAAACCGCCCTAGTGCCCTCAACAGTAACGGCATGAAGTTGTTGCGGTTTTCTGCAAACAACGGACTGTCTATTATGAACACCTTCTTCTAGCATGGAAAAGTGCATCAGTACACTGGTACCGGGATGCTTGCGCACATTTTATGATCGTATCGTCTGACTTAAGACGCTCAGTAATGGATGTTCGTGTTAAAAAAGCTATCAACCGATCATCACCTTGTTGTTGGCACGCTACGCTGTAAGAAATGGAGTACCACACGAAGATCAGGTGGCAGAAGGAACCGGAGAATCGAATGGGAAACATTTTCCTTGGTGGACACCAGAGCGAAATTTGCAAACAACATTGCACAACGGCTTGAACAGATCCCAGTGATGACAACTGATGTTGAAACCGAGTGGCAGCTCTTTAAGAGCGACATACTCGAGGCTGTCGCCGAATGCTGCGAATATAAACGAGCTGGATTGCCGCCTGGAGGTCAGAAAAGATCTTCATGGCGAACACGAGAGGTACAACTGACAGTTAAAGAGAAGAAAGCAGCGTTCAAGAAATGGCTGGGAAAAAAGAGCCTTCTACTCGTCTGCGATATGTCGAGGCACGCAAGGCGGCAGCCATAGCAGTGGCCAAAGCCAAGGCTAATTCGTGGGAGAAGTTCGGTGAAGTGTTGGGGTCGAATTTCCACTCGGCAAACAAAGTATTCTGACAGACCATCGGTCGGCTCCGAGGTGAAAAGACGGGCACTCTCAGAGTGCTGAAGGACAGACCTGGACACCCTCTTACCAAGGATAATGACATTCTTCAGCATCGGAGGGAGTATTCTGAGGAACTCCTTAACCCCGCGCAACAGCAGGAAGATTCGCCTGTTAGAGCAGAAGGGTACGGATATTACTATCTCTGTAGATGAAATTGCACAAGCTGTGAAAAGCTTGAAAA